TGCCAAACAAATTCAACATGTTGACTACATTTCTCGACAGTCATTACAAGATAAACCTGTAAATACTTCAGACTGTTTGTTAGTGCAACCTTTACCAGTGAAATGTCCAGATCTCATTAGAGAAACTCGTAAATACTTTGGATGTATCATTAATGCTATACGGAAAGGTTGGAATGCTAATTTGAAACGTAGATTTCCTATCTATTTTTCAAAGCGGGATGAGCTATCTACTACTCCTGATGGTATTTTGTGTTTAAATGATCGTGTTGTTATTCCTCCTTCATTGCGTAAATCTGTCCCAGAAGATCTTCATAGTGGACATTTAGGTGTTGAAAAAATGAAGTCATTGGCGAGGCTCACATGTTGGTGGCCAGAGATAAATGCAGATATTTGTCATACAGCAAACAATTGTGAAAAGTGTCATAAGCTGAAAAATCAGCATTCGAAGTGGACTCCATGGCCAGTATCGTCTGAGGCCTGGCAGAGAATTCATGCAGACTATTGTGGTCCGTTTCTTGGCAAATACTATGCGCTTGTAGTTATTGATTCTTTTTCAAAGTGGCCTGAAGTTTTCTTCACAACTTCACCAAATTCTGACTTCACAATTCAAGCATTAAGAAAGGTGTTTAGTCGAGAAGGGGTTCCAATGGTGTTAGTAACTGATAACGGCTCTCATTTTGCTGCAGATGCAGTCACTACCTGGTTAAATGGTATAGGGTGCAAACATCTGTTTACTGCTCCCAGACATCCTTGTTCCAATGGTCAGGCAGAAAATTTTGTCAGGACGTTAAAAACTGCCATTGATTCTATTGCTGCCTCAACAGTTAATGAGCTGGAGAGGGGAGTAGATACCTTTCTACTGCAATATAAAAATGCCAGACATTCGGTGACGAAAGAGACTCCATCAAAACTATTAAAAGGAAGAACTCTTCGGTCGAATATGAGATGTTTGGAGTCTGCAGAAGTTACGTATTATCGTGGCAATGATCTTCGACCATCCACGGGGATTGTTCTGAAGAATGTCGGGAAATCTATGGTGCGACTTCTAGATATCAATGACTTAAGTACACACAATCGACATGTTGATCAAATACAATTCCAGCAACCAGGTGAGTCTGTTCCGATTTCAGTTGTTAATTCTAATACTAATGAGTGCATTCTAGATAATACAGAGTCTTTATCCAATACATTGTCGGACAGACACAGCATGAACTTGAGGAGAAGACGTACAATTGATTACAGACACTTAGACTCTAATTTAAGCTGTGGCGGATGTGGTGTTTGAATGAACTAATGACTCCTTTGTATTTGTTGAATGTCTGATTTCGAATTCTAAATACAGTACATTCGTTAGTGCTTGTGTAGTACTTCTTGATTCAATTGCGTTATCCCTGGGATTCTTAGTTCATACTCCTAATTATCATACAAACCCATTAATTTAGTGTCTGATTTAGTTGTTTCTTAGGGTACGAAACACTTGAGTGGACAATTTTACAAGATAAATAGCTTATGACAACTTAAAATTAATACTGACCAATTCGGTTTTTGTTGGTACTCTACTAAATAGTGTTCGACCAAATACCCCGTCAAATCATATTTCGATATGCCATTTAGTTTTTTTATAATAAATAGGTAACATGAGAGCTATACATCACGAAACTTTGGCCAATCGTCAAAATGCATCTCACTTGCAGACCTTCAAAAACCTTTGAGGCCACCAGAAAATTCAGTCGTCTGTCGTGTCGGATTCCACTACAGTAGTAGGTGCTTTGGAAGCTTCACACCTTCTGAAGGATATTTACGGTGATGAGTGCTAAGTCAGTAATCTAGAGGTTGAGTATAAGCGTGCAAGATTGAAGGTTCTGGACTTGTTCTGGGGTCGTAGTTAAGCACTGCTGAGAAGTTCCACAGCATGACAAAACAGATGTCTATTGCTTTCCAGTTTTCAAAAGTGGTTAAGCTAAGATCTGATAATGCTTGATATTATAAAAATCCTTCAATCTCTACAGACTCCTTCAAACTAATAATACTCAACTTTGGATGAGAAATACTAGATATCATGTGTAACAAAGTTAATGACAAATAAATTGTTATTGCAATAGACGTGATTTATAATTCGTCCTAAGTATTTATTCACTTTTTCAAAAAATATTGATGCTTATTCACCGTAAAAGTACACATCCAGCTTTGTATGAAGTCAGTATATCATATATTTAATTGAATGGAACACGTCACTACAGACAATCCGTCTTGTTATCCCAACAAACAGGATAAATTCTGTACAATGGGGTTTTGTACATATCACGCCTCTACTATTTGGATTTCTGGATTGTCTGGACATGTGGATGCTGACCCAAGTTGGGTAGAACGAAAAACTCACAAATTTTAAATATTTACCATCATACAGCCATCTTCTGATTGACGATGTCCATTTCCGAGCATCAACTAGAGTAGTAACGACAGTACATTCATATCTAATGTAGTCACAAATGAGGTACTTCAAAAGGATTCAACTACAAGGGAGACTGCACATCTATAATTGGAATCTTCAACACGTCATATGGACCAACAACGGATGACCACTGGAGGTTAGTGAGGTATGTTATTCAGGTGGCCGTCCAACACAACGTACTTCAAGCACAATGCACACCTGGAAAGAGATCTCACTGGCTGAAGCGAGGCACAGAACATTTCCTACAAGCGTAATGGGTACCGGCAAAAATGTAGGGTTTCTTTGGAGGATTCTAACCCTAGCTCCCACATGGCGTTGAGAAGTAGATGGAACATCAGAATTTAAAGTGAAAGGAGAAGTTTTCCAGACCTAGCAGCTGCAACAAGAGCTTAACGAAAATACCTTAGAAGTTGAAATAATATAACTATAAAGAACTAATTCCAATGTGTCTACAACTTCAACGAGACACAATCAAGAACGCAAATTCGAAGTAAACGGTATGAGGTTGTACTGTATATAATCAAAAATTTAAATTTTACATAAATTTTTAAGTGAACAGTAAGTTTATTGATTATTCGTCGCACCCTTCACACGTTGATTGTCAGTCTACATATCTGTAATGTATTCTGAGTATATTTGCAATCCTGTCGGATATTTTCCTCTGTTTAGCGATCTGATTTTTATATTCTTTGTCAGTCTCGAATTCTGAATTATCAAAAGAGTCATTATTGACAGGGAAACCATTAGATTAAAATTGGAACTATTTACCTGAATTTCAGAATAGTTTGTGGAGTAAGATTGGGAACAGTCACTTCATGAACCTACACTTCGTCTATATGCTGAACTAAATGATAGCGTAAATCAAGACTTTTTACCATTTGACTATTCATTATATAAATTATAATCCCTGTAGATAGTCCATAATCATTTCCTAAATAAAACCGAACTTCTGATGATGCCATTTTTGCGAAATCAGTTCGAAGTATAGGAGACTGTTGTGATTTCTTGGATGCTTGTCATTACGATGTTGAAGGAAGAAATAATCGATGCGCTTTTCTAGCTCTTCTAGATTAAATGGATCCACTGATCTTATAGCTCCCTTTAAAGTTCGAAAGAAATTTTCTGTTAAACCTTTAGACTCAGAATTTTTCGGGGCTGTAAATAGGTGTTGGTGTCCAATATCAGTGAGTCAGATGTTAAACAATTTTTCAGTGAAATGGATCCCATTGTTCATTAAACATACACTGGGTATTCATTCACGACTAATTACTCACAAAAAGATCTCTGTATGTTCACGAAAAAATGGAAAACTACAAACCGAGAGTGAAAACTCTCAAAAGGTCATGCGGCAAAGATCCTACTGAACTAAAGATGATGGAATTCGTTGATACTAAGTTCGTCAATCAATTGAAGCATGAATCTACAAGCTTAGAATATAGTCCTGGCTGGTGGTTTTGAAAATATCCATATAAATTAGATTCTCTATTTAAACCTGTCTTGATTATCTCGTGACAGCGTGGTCTATGACTGGTGATCACAGAGAACATAGGCACTCGCTTGAAAGACAACTCTTCAGTTTTTAAGATGGAAACTTGACAAAATCACCCGAAAATTGTTTTCATTACTTTAAAACTTTTTCAAAGTCTCACCTCGTAGTTCACAATTTTTTGAGCTCCCTCCCTTCAGAAGAGATATTAATATCTCAGACGAAGTACGATGATAAGTTACTAAGTGAGTGATTAGGCTGAAGAACTAATCTTACGGATATAAACTTCAACACTTTCGATTATCCTAGCTGAGGAACAGAGGAAAAAATGACCTGATGAGGGCGAACAAAGTTACAAGTACGCTAAGTTAACTCAACACGAACACCATGGCAAAACTTCACTACCATGCTCCTCAAGACATTCCTCAAAAAATCGCACATCAAGGTGTAGAAACCCAAACGGTGATAGTTTTTCTCACTAATATTTCCTATCTCCTAGAGAGCCGAAGCAATCAGAGCTTGGTATACTTGTACTCACTCCGACTACTTTCATGTGTCATAACCTTCCTACTGTTGTCGTCACTGCATACCATTGAATTAAATTACCTTACCTACTAGCATCTCCGTTCTTTCCTTTGATCGTACAATTCAATCCACTCATAACTTCTATATTACTCATTAGCTGACTCATTTATTTACCTAATGAAGCAATCGTTTTCTCTTAGTATTCGGATTTTCCCCATTAATATCCCGAATGTGACCAACCAATCACCTGCATAGCGATGTGATAGTTGCTGGTTTTGCGAACCTTACTGCGTTGAGATTCTGGGTACTGTATATAAATTGGACATAAACGTAACTACTCAGACTACAAGATATACAAAACCCACTCATAACTACCAAAACGACTAGAATAAGTGCATCGATGTCGATAATCAACAGCAAATTGAGCATTTTTAAAGGACTGGAGCCTGGTGGAAACAACAAAAGAGAGTGAAAAAGAAATAAACACTTTATTCAAACTCGTTACAAAGATATTGAACATTGGATTAAATTAACCATGACTACGGTTCAACCGGGTTGTACAAATAAATCGGATGTAACACGTTTGAAAAGTTACACCATCATCTTTTTGTCTCGATTATCATATTGTATTAATCTATCCTCCGTGTAAATTCCGATTGCTATCACTTGCTTTCGTTATTAGATGTAAGTGCACTCTATCTGCTTATTGAGTCATTGGCTCACGTTTTCGCTTAATAGATAAACATTGGTTATTTTCTTCCAGACAATTTCACTTGCTGCCCCTAAAACTCATGGAGCACACACACAGTATCATTATATTAGCTTCAAGTCTACCAAAGGCTGAGCATTACACATATACAACTCATTTACCACCTTAATTCATCGACGTCTATTATTAATCGTCGTACTACTTTCATTTTACTGTTGTGTAACTACTAATTGCTACCTACTGATTTCGTTCTGATATATTAGTTTGATATGTGTGATTTCTGAGTCTTCGACTTATTCTTATTGCTCTCTTTCCTCTGAGAAAACATCACATACGCTGCTTTTTACATTCACCGACATAAAAGTACTTTCATGCGAGACTCAAACATATGGAAGACTGAGGATTACGCTCACGTTTATCATTTTCAATAATCGTAATTCTAACTTTTAAGTTGTCTCAAACAATCAAAGAAGGGGAAATAAAGGCGAACTTCGGAGAAATCCTTAAGAGAATTCATTATAAATGAATGCGACAGTGCATCAAATTGTCAACCTTTCCTACAATCCCCGCTTAGATCGTGAAGATTTTTCTAAAATTAACCCGCTGATGGATGTCTCGAAACTAATACCCTTACCTTCTGCAGCTACAATTTTGTCAGTGAGAAGCAGTATTCTTGTCACTGGAATTCTAAAATGATTGCTAACTTTTTAAATGTAGGCTGAAATTGATTAGTATATAAGGTATTATTATCTTAGAGATGAAAACGTAAGGATGTAACTTTTACTTACGATAATGTATGTATTGGGGACATTATGACCTCATGGCTAACTATGTTGACAGATGTACAATTATTTGATAAGTCACTAATGGTTAGTAGCATATGCTCATGACTAACTACTGAACACAGAATTATGCTTACATCATTCGAGGGTAATGATTCCGTAGATAGACATACAGCGCAAACTTAAGAACGGAATTTAATTTTGCCGTTTTCTCCTATATCTGTAATCAGTTCGGGATCACTTTTCACGAGTACTAAGATGTTGTGCTTAAATGATTTAAACCTAGTACCTTTTCATCACCATCAACTGGCGTTTTGATATTGCCAACGATATAACTGTCGTGTAATCAACTAATGAATGACAGTTGCTCATTATAACGCCAGACAGCTTGTTTGGCTGCAGAGTATCCCCAATCCACTGTCCTTTTAGTATGTTGCGCGTAAGACTTAAAAGAAAATCTAAGATATCTCATATTTGCGCTTTAGTCTGAATTTATCCTATGATTTTATTACTTTTAAATATCTCTGTATTCAATGTAGCTCACCACCTGTTTGCCAGACTTTCCATTTATGGTGCGAATGGTAGTAACAACTGTTATCATTATCAAAAGAATTCTACACTCCAGATTTTTAAACACCTTGGTGCACTCATTCTCTTTATACCACCTTTAAAAAGCACTCCAAGAAGAGTATACATCGCTTTGTGTACATTTCTTTACGACTCAAACTTATGTACGCTTTAATCTTTCAGTAACTCGAGTTACCGTTTGTCGATTTTACAAATCAAGAATTCTTCAAGAATGCTTCAGTCAATATAAGTCATGATATTTTTGGAAAACATTTCTAAGTTTACTTTTACAGAGCATGGATGACGCTACTATTTAACTTAAAATACAGTTCTATACCAGTTAGGGCTAGCCGGAAATTTAAGATATCTTCAGACATTATAGTCTCATATTAGTAACTGCACTCCAGTAGCAAACTCCAATTGCCAAAGGATATAAACCATAACGTTTAACCGTATAAACTGGCAAGATAATAATCTTACACCCGTTTTAGAGATAGACAGCAACTCTTTCATGGTTTACTATGTTTGCTCTGACAATATTCAACACATTTATTAGAACCAAACTGCTTCTTGACATAGAAGATACAGGAATACCCGTAAAATATACCTTGCCTTTTGATGCTGAAAAAATGGTGAGAACAAGCAATATTGTACATATATTTACTATAAAATTGAAGAGAATAATCAGTCCTTTTCAAAGCTTTAATTGGCAATCACAGATTTATTTATGTCACTTTTAGCACTTTCAATCTCTTATACCTACTCTGAAAATTTCGCCCAGTACTAACGTGATTATATCACTACGTTCATACGTTGTTTACCACACAAAAAGCATTCAAAAACCTAAATAAATTTGGTTCTGTTATCGAGTTTATCCAATACGTTTCAAGTAATTCACTAACTAGCTCGACCATTCCATTAATTTTGCCGAAAATTAAAAGACTATTCAGATTTCTGACACTGTGGATGTGACATTCTTCAAAAATAAATCTGCCTTTTGAAATTTCTGTAAAAACGTATCTGTCTTATTACATATCTTGTTATAATTAACCGTTTACAAGGAATCTACACGACAACACATTCCATGTTTAATATGTCTTCTGTAACTAAAGCACATTTATCTTTATAACTTCATTCATCCATTTCATACAGCCATAGTTAATAATTTATGTAACCTGACTTTATATTAATCGAATAACGCAAAAGTGATTCACTGCATCCTTTATAATCACAAACGTGTTCCATGCACTGATATAGTTGACCATATTATCTGTTTTATTGACCTTCATATACGTATATCTAATAAACAAATTGACCTAATTTTGTTCATAGTGTCTCAAGTCTACATAATTAGACCAAACGACTACTGAAAATAGTCCGTCCTTAAAAAATATCATGTTTTAAAGTTGAAATTGGAACTTTTGTTGAAGTCAAATATATTTATATCTCTTCACAATATGAACTTCAGTAATTAATCATTTTAATATATGAATAATTCCGTTTTTCAGTTATGTTTTGGTCATATCTAACTCGCTATTTATGTAATTCCTCAGTAACTTTTTCACGACAGTTGGTTTTTGACTAGTTTGTGATCAAACTTTTATGTAAGGATAATCGTTTATTACGTTTGGTTAAGTCATATTTGACTCCCAGTACTGGTAGGATTCTGGAAACTCCAAGAAAAGTATATCATGACATTCTGATACATTGCAGGCCTTATATTCACCACTTACTTATTATCAACCTCAAAATCGCTATTTGAGTTTCAAGTGATAGTTCATGGATTCCAAAGCAACGTATTATTTATTGTGATATACATAAAGTTTTTCTAAAACTAAGGAGTACACTATACAGAGAAACAAATCTGCAAAATAACATGTATTTTGTGCAATAATAATAATACAACTTCGTTTAATATTTCGAAATGGAGTACAAAAATTAAACCATCTAAAAAGGGAAACATTTTATCTAAAAATTGAAATGTCCTGTTTTCTGTAAAATATATCCTGAGATAGAAACACGTTTCCCGCCTATATCTGAGTTGGGGTTATTTTAAATTCTGATTTGAAAAGATGTGAATAACATTGATGAACATGAAATATAGTTCAAGAGGGATATTTAGTATCATTGACTTTGTAACGGCTCTTATCAACTGATTACTATTGGCTCCTAAGAGTACACACTAACTACTAAGTCAATTTAATGAAGGATAATGGTCAACCAATGCAATCATCACCTGAATGTCTAACAGAACTATATCACAACACAACGTAAACGAGAGATTTTCTTAGTAGAACTTCCAGGTAAGCATGATGATACAGTTTATTGATGTCTACTGACTATTACTGGTTTACAGGCTTTGAAAAACAAATTAGTTTATGATTATTTATGGGACCTTTACAAACTACCTGATTAGTGTTTGGTCATTCATAATAATAGTAATAATAATAATCATTCGATTCTCATGACTGAATTATTTTCCCATGTACTTTAGATAACACCGTACAATTTACGTATTTGTTTTAACTATGAAAAAATGACAGAAACTGCTGAATCATTATCAGAACAAAAATCATTCGATCCATTTATTCCATGGGGTTTTCCAAATGAGTTAAATTTATGCAATGCAGCACGTCATGCTGATATAAAAGCTGTAAGCAAGTCTATTGCAAATGGAGTGAATATAAACTTTATTGATGGTTTTGGTAAAACAGCATTACACTATGCAGCTGCAAGTAAACATGTTTAAAATTTCGTAATTCTTGATTTATTTTTCCCTTCAATAAATATATCTAAAATTAAATAAAAGATGGAAGTTATGAATCAGTGAAACTTCTTGTCGCTAATAAAGCGAATGTAAATATATGGGATTCAAATGGAACTACACCATTACATATGGCCGCTAAAGGTAGGACAGTTGTATTGGATTTACAACATACTATTCAATTTATTTTACAGGAAATCATACAAGAGTAGTGAAATTTTTACTTATGTCTGGGGCAGATATTAATCATCAATGTGTTAGTGGCGTCAAACCAATCGATTTAGCAATTTATAATTCCGAAACTTGGAAGGTAAGTCATGCTGAAGAATAGATGTTGTACTCATTACTTTCTTGAATGTTTACTGTTCATTTGACCATAAAGTCAACTTCACTTAATGCTGACTGTTTTCAACAGTTCAGCTCGTTTGGTATACTGACTTTGTCAGTCCGAAGATGCCGCTCTCTAATTTCCCATTATTTTCTAATGGAGTGTGTCTTGGGTTGAAAAATATCATTGGTTGGATCTTTTTATAAAATTTATCAACCAAAAACATGAATTAGAGATGTATAAGTTCCTTTATGATATTCAATCACAAAATACTTGTTTATTTAGCCTTACTTATCACTTATTTATTTTGAACAGCATGCCTGAAGTACATGGTCAAGAAGGTGGTTTATTAGTCTGTTGTAGGAGACGTCTGCGAACCAGTTCACATTTTATCCTTATCCTTTTTCCGACCATACTACTAACTATAACATGAGCTAAAATAATTATGGTAATATCTTTTAGAGATGATCGAGAATCTAAAAGCCGTAATTGTTGCCTACTTATGATTTCTACAACTGATGTCATTTAGATAGCTTATCGTATTGAGTAGCAATTAAAAATCATTTAACCGTTATCTTTGACTTTTAAGTACACAGCTTTAGCATCGCTAAACAACAATCTGCAATTATAGAATTCAGAAGAAACACTAACATTTATCAACTACTTTACAATTTAAGGATTACTCTCATTATTTCGTTTAACTTACTGTCACTTCCCACCTTAATTCAATCAAATACATTCCTGATCCAGATTTATCTCATCAGTCCTGATTTGTTAAACAATCTTCTAATTATTTATCATAAAATTATCAAGTGCATATTTTTGTAGTGGTTTACTAATGTTGATAGGTACAGTAAAACGTTTTGGTTTAATCTCTTCGTATTTTGTGAAGTATAGCTTCTACATCCAGAGGTTTCTCATGCTTCTGATCGATTTATTGACAAATATAAATGTCACGAATGAAGTACAAATAACTCAATGATGAACATAGATTTGTACTAAATTTGTTGCTTTAACAGTTCCCGTTGTTATACACGACAATAACGTGAATAACAAAAAACAATGATAACTGATACAACTGAACTATTGTTCGAAATCAATAGTTTTGAATTGATTTAAACAAAAATAAACAATCCTCCAAGGAACATGCAGTGTTGAATATTATTGAAATAGTTAAGACATAATTCAATGAGATCGATAATCATTTTTTCTGTCTGGTTATCAAGTAATCTTTGTAGTTTACATTATTACAACTTTTAGTCTAGATTTCTCAAATATATTGATAATGATGTTATAAGGACTAATCAAAGGTTGTTAGACTAATACAATTTGTTACACTTTAACAAGTACAAGTACATTTCATTGGAATCACTGAAGTTAAGTCATAGAATAAAGGATTTTCAACTTCAAAATTTAAATGACAAATATATTGAACTATTCAAACTGTTTTTCAGACTCGAAATCTATTCTTCAGAAAAAGTTAACACTGGAGATTTCTGACTTCGGAAAACATTCAATTATGTAACACCATTCAAATAATGTTTAAAGGGACATAAGTAGATGATATAGTCTGTTAACTGAGCACTCGATTCGATATACTAGCCGCTTCCAATAATCTCAGTCTAAATCTACATAACAGCCTAGACACAAAAGAAAAGGGCGTAAACGCGAAAATAATGCTATACTCGTGCGTATTTTTACTATTCAACATGGCATTGCTTATCAAGAAAGTTCCAGAAGCACAATAAATATTAGCAATAAGAGGTTGATGTGTGATTCATTATCCTTCTAAATATTTCAAAGAAACTTCTATTCAATTCCGACTGAATAAAATGCTTCCAAGCGATTTCTGAACCCATTAAGTTATACAAAAAGAATTTGGGAACTCTCATACAGCAGATTTATTGCTTAATCACTAGACACCTAATTGCTATTTCGATCAGTATTATGCAGTTGTATTAAAAAATAAAGGTATTCACTAACTGATAACTGAATATTTTAAAAATCATTATTCTTGAATAGATTTAAATTCCTATTTATTTCGACTTCTCATACAAGGGCTATCATCGAAAATATCTATTTTAAGTTATGGACATGATGAATATGCAATCATCATCAACGTTTTCGTATTATTTTCAGCAATTTTAAAGAAAGATTTTCTTTATTCGTTCTATTTTATCCCTTTCCCACTATTAATACTAATACAACTGTATACAGGTTTTATTGGACGCTGCAAACGGTGATCTACCTAAAATTGAACATTTAATACAAACACGTACAGTTCCTCTTATTCCCCAATTCGCAATACAAAGAGAAATTGATAAACAAGCTAAGGCAAATGAAAAGAAAGGTGGAACGAAGAAAAGTGGAAAGAAGAGTGGGAAAGGCAAAAAGAAGAAATGAACAATTTGTCCAACATTATTTGAAAATTTAAATCACTTCTACTGTCTTCTTTACATACATAAATACATTATATACTTGTACAACATGGCATACATATAAATAAAATCTATTATTATAAATTTATGATATGAGCACTAAATAAAGTAGAAAAGAAAACAATCAAGTCATGAATGGCAGAAATACAGAAAAATATGTGCATATGGAGGGCTAATGAGTAAATAAACGTCAAGAATTACTCTCACGTTTACAACTGTTGTTACGATTATTTATTGTAAAAATGTTCTAATATAAAAACTCGAACATCAAAATATGTAATGAGATGTTAATTCTTTATTTTGACTTAAAAATTCATACTACTCAAACATTACTAGTAGCATAAAAACAGTCACAATTATTGTAATCGTGATGAGATCTAAGATTGCCTCAAGTGATTTTACATGTGATAAGCTTGGTGTTTCAATCTAATATCTGATTTTACGAATAATAATCTTAAGTTTAAGCAGTTGCATATTAAATTGTGATAAGATTATCCTTTTCGATTAATACGATTCGTTATAACTAATAGTCAAGATGAAATAGGATACTCAATCCTTAGTGAAATCTTCCATGGATTTTTCACTCCTAATTTACCTTTTATGTAAAAATAGATTCCAATTTACAATAAATGATCACATTTTATACTCAAGCTAGGTAAAACTAAATCATTTGCAACTGTCGTCTTTAATCATTTAGTAGTAAACGAGAAATGTTAAACCATAAATTTAAGCATAAAACAATCGACCAAATGGTTCATTGATGAAAAAATTCAACTCATTACTGCATTACATACTTGATTGAAAGTAGCATGTATTTTGTGCAGAATCCTAGGTAATTAGGAAGCCAATCTAGGGACATGTACACATTATGCCTTAATATTAATAAGATTAAGATTGGTCACAGAATAATGTTAATGAAAATATGAGTGTGTTAGTATGTATAAGTGGAGTTAGTTCAAATTTTCTTATCCTTACAGTATGCATACGTTACCTATCGGTAATAAGTTATTCCACATAATCTCGATTTACTATCTCTGTATAATAATTCATTCGTAAAGCACAAAAAATTAGGATTAGTGGTTGAATTAGATCAACAAAAGCACAAAAATCTTAGTTTGCAAATGACGTTTTGCAAATAAATTTATTATAATATACGTTTGTTAGATATATGAAACTAAAGTTGATATGAAATGAATGGTTGGGCCAAGTTAATTAAAAATAGTTATTGATAGCTTGAAATTATTCTCAAACGAGAGTATCTGCAGTTGTAAAGCTACCTTCTATAAACAGCGTGTTATAATATATCAAGAACAGATAGGCAGGATAAATGTTATGATAGATAAATCCTGATGTTAAGCCATTAATTTTATCAAAAATATGAATATTAAGATCATTTTAGAACCTATAAATGTATAATAGTAATGCAGGCAAAATCCAGGTGGATGCATTATTCTTATCAGACTAAAATGATCTCATTATTAATAATGATTACTGTTGTATGGTGTAATAAATCAATGTTTTCATCAGTTAACCAAACTCATTTTTTAATAAAAGTGTGGTGTGTGCTACTGATGTCGACAGATATAAATGGTATGTATGATCAATCGAAAGTGAAATGCCTGAGGACAGAAGGTTAAGAAAATCGAAAGAAAGAGAATGAGAACAGAAAATGATTGGTGTGGAAACGAAAGAACAATGAAATCTGAGACGATTGATTGACACTTTGCAGATGACGTATTTTCTGTATGGTTCTCAGACTGTTTTACCCTTATGACCGCTGTTGCCACCTAATACATTGCTTTTACGCTTAGTTTGCTATTTGTCTGTATTTAATCACATGTTTCACGGTCGTAGCTGTTACCACGAACATAAAGCTGTTAAATTACAGTTTCGATTTTTTTTAGAAAGTCAAGCATTCCCTTAAGTCTTATACTCGATCTTCAACCACATATGTGCATTATGCTTATTTAAGTGATACAATAATTAGTCACAGCTCTCTCTAGGACGTATAGATACCACTCCTATTTGCTGACATCTTTCGATAGTTCATAATTTAGAATAACCTTTTAAACTTTTTCACAATAGGATAAAATGTCATAGTCTATGCACAAGGTACTTTAGTTCAGGAAAATTTTTAAGTTAATTTGTAGGTTATTTCAGTCACATTAGTCAAAACGCTCCCCACTACTTAAACCAATTAAAACCTGTAGTCAACGCTCTAAAATACTCAGGCCACTTCTTGAACAGACTACAATGATCTCTTTATGGTTACGCTACTACTATCTATCTTCATGATCAATATTTAAGCTTTCAACAACTAGACTATCATTAATTTCCCTTAAACAGAACGAATTATTGCCTTTGTTTATTCTACGTCACTGTTACCATGTGATTGTACAGCTTTGAAAATGAATTCGCCGAAAATAAAACTCTTCACTGAATCAATCTTTCTTGTTTTACTACCGATGTATTTGTTCACAATGGATAGACATCTATGATAACGACATAATAATTTTGTGATTTCAATAGTTGAGATCACGAGTCAATTGAAACTAGACCACCATGGGAAACCTAGAAGCAGTGGACGGCCGTTTCATCCTATTGTGGGACTCCTCAGCAAAGCGCATCCACGACCCCACCTCGTGGGATTTGAACCGAGAGCCTATCAGTCTCGCGCGCGAGCACTTAACCACTAGACCACTGAGCCGGTACCCGAGGGTGGTGGTTAAGCGCCTGGCTCCAGAATGACCGGTCCTGTGTTCGAATCCCGCGAAACGGGGTCGTGGATACGCACTGCTGAGGAGTCTCACAATAAGACGAAACGGCCGTTCAGGGCTTCCATATTTTCCATGGTGGTCTAGCTTCAATTGACTCATGATCTCAACCATTGAAATTTTGTTATTTGTTTAAAACTATTCTTATGATATAATATCATATAAAATATCTAACTGCTTTAATTTTTCTAACATTTTATTTGTTTTCATTTGAACATTGTACAATTTTATTAATTGTAGCGAACATTAAAACAACTTGGATTAAATTAATTTGAAATTGAAAGATTATTCATACAAACAAAAGCAAAACAATAATGAATAGTAGTTGACTAATTATTGAATACATGAATGTATTCAATTGAATATAGGTTTTTTTCTTTTTCCGAAAATTTCTCTATTTTTTTCTTTTTTCCATTATTTTGATTCTGATCATTTTGTTCGTAGTTTGTTTCTATGTACGATAGCATACAGCACCGACATTTACACTTAATGAACATGTTCCTTGTTTATCGAAATTACGTACTTTAAAATCAATAATTGGTAATACTTCTAAATCTCTTGTTTCAATCAATAACTTAGTAGCTGCACCTTTTGTTAAGTACTAAAGAAAAAAATAAGAGAGTAAGAGAGATATAAAGAAAATGTAAATAAAAGTTATTTATTTTGAAGGTAATAATGGCTCATTTTCATTGAAATTGTATTCTACTCTTTATTAGACTATTATGTATGAATTGTAGTATATCCTTTTACTAGGGTCAGAATATCCAACTTCTTCATTTAATGTATTATGATATAAATTATGTTGTAAAACGTTGAATACGATTTTTGGACTAACTACCAGTGAACCTGACCTCCTATGTGTTGTAAGTTACAAGTTACATTTTCTGCATCATCGTCACTCGATCTTTCCAGCCCCAACTAATCCAATTATCTTTATTATCTATTAACAATAAACTTATGCTTTATAATGATGTTAACTCCGCCTGTAACTCTTCCAGAGTTACTGCCGGTCCCAAGCCCGGGTAAAGGAGGAGAGTTGGGCATAGGGTTAGCGTCCCCATCCCGTAGAAACCTAACTCGCTAAAAAAACGCTAACCAGAAAAAATAACTCAAACCATTTAAACCCTGCCCTGGGAGTTAGAGGTAATATGACGCTTCATGGTGAAAGCCGAGTTCCTTCGGAAGCCACGAGGCCGATGCCCCTTCTAACAACCAGAGCAACAATTTTTATAGGTACATGGAACGTCCGGACAATGTGGGAGACCGGGAAGACCAGTCAAATAGCAACGGAAATGAGGAGATACAACTTGGCAGTACTGGAAATCAGTGAAACCCATTGGACCCAAGCTGGACAACAAAGGCTAAAAACGGGAGAGATGCTGCTATACTCCGGTCACAAAGAGGAAAATGCTCCACACACTCAGGGAGTTGCTCTAATGCTATCCAAAGTAGCACGAAATGCACTTGTAGGATGGGAATCTCACGGATCCAGAATCATCAAAGCATCATTCAAAACAAAGAAGGAGGGTATCACAATGAACATTATCCAATGTTATGCACCTACCAATGATAGCAACGACGACGTTAAGGATCAATTCTATGAGAGGCTGCAATCAATCATAGAGAAGTGCCCAAGAAAGGACCTCACCATTCTGATGGGAGATCTAAACGCCAAAGTCGGAATGGACAACACCGGATATGAAGACATCATGGGACTGCATGGACCGGGAGAGAGAAACGAAAACGGGGAAAGATTTGCAAATCTGTGTGCATTCAATAAATTGGTCATAGGCGGTACAACATTTCCACACAAACGTATACACAAAGCTACATGGATCTCACCGGACCACACCACAGAGAACCAGATAGATCACATTTGCATCAATAAAAAGTTCCGAAGGACAATGGAAGATGTGAAAACCAGGAGAGGAGCGGACATAGCTTCAGATCATCACCTAGTTGTGGCCAAATTGAAACTGAAGCTAAAGAAGAACTGGACAACTGGACAAACAGCACCACAAAGGTTCAATACAGCCTTCCTTCGAGATACTGACAAACTCAATGAATTCAAGGTAGCTCTCAACAACAGGTTCCAAGCCTTACAGGATCTACTGAAGGAAGAAGAAACTACTATGGAGGATAGCTGGAAAGGTATCAAAGAAACATTAACTTCAACGTGTCAAGAGGTTCTGGGCCCCAAGAAACATCATCACAAGGAATGGATCTCTACAGAAACACTGGACAGGATCAAAGAAAGAAAGAACAAGAAGACAGCAATTAACAACAGTCGAACAAGAGCAGAGAAAGTCCAAGCACAAGCAGAGTACATAGAAGCAAACAAGAAAGTGAAGAAGAGCATTAGAGCTGATAAGCAAAAATACGTGGAAGAACTAGCAACGACGGCGGAAAAAGCTGCAAGAGAAGGAAATATGAGACAGCTTTACGATACGACGAAGAAGCTTGCAGGGAAATACAGTAAACCAGAGAGACCAGTCAAAGACAAAGA